CTGCCAGCCCCGTAATCTGCCAGGGCCCCCCGTACCGCCTCCTCATGCTTGCTGCCAGGTCCCAATCTGTCATGGTCCCATACCGCCTCCTCATGCTGCTGCCAGCCCCTTCTGGTCAGCCCCTGTGCCTCATGCTGCCAGTCTTTTCATTCGGTTACTCCCAATGCTGCTGCCCAGTGGGCCCGTAATCTGCCATAGGCCCCGATTACCGACCTCCTCATTGCTGCTGCCAGGCCCGTAATCTGCCATGGGCCCCTTGTACCGCCTCCTCATGCTGCTTGCCAGGTCCAGAGTGTCTCATGGGTCCCTGTACGGCCTCCCATTGCTGCTGTCTCCATCGCCACACTCTGCCATGTGCCACTTTCAGGTCTCCTCACACTGCTGGTGTGTTCCATTTTGTCATAGGGTGCTGGCAGATTACGGCCTCCCATTGCTGCTGCCAGGCCTGTAATCTGCCATGGGCCCCTGTACCACCCTCCTCATGCTGCTGCCAGGTCCAGAGTCTCTCATGGGTCCCTGTACGGCCTCCCATTGCTGCTGTCTCCATCGCCACACTCTGCCATGTGCCACTTTCAGGTCTCCTCACACTGCTTGGTGTGTTCCATTTTGTCATAGGATGCTGGCAGATTACGGGCCTCCCATTGCTGCTGCCAGGCCTGTAATCTGCCATGGGCCCCTGTACCGCCTCCTCATGCTGCTGCCAGGTCCAGAGTCTCTCATGGGTCCCTGTACGGCCTCCCATTGCTGCTGTCTCCATCGCCACACTCTGCCATGTGCCACTTTCAGGTCTCCTCACACTGCTGGTGGGTTCCATTTGTCATAGGGTGCTGGCAGATTACGGGCCTCCCATTGCTGCTGCCAGGCCTGTAATCTGCCATGGGCCCCTGTACCGCCTCCTCATGCTGCTGCCAGGTCCAGAGTCTCTCATGGGTCCCTGTACGGCCTCCCATTGCTGCTGTCTCCATCGCCACACTCTGCCATGTGCCACTTTCAGGTCTCCTCACACTGCTGGTGTGTTCCATTTTGTCATAGGGTGCTGGCAGATTACGGGCCTCCCATTGCTGCTGCCAGGCCTGTAATCTGCCATGGGCCCCCGTACCGCCTCCTCATGCTGCTGCCAGGTCCAGAGTCTCTCATGGGTCCCTGTACGGCCTCCCATTGCTGCTGTCTCCATCGCCACACTCTGCCATGTGCCACTTTCAGGTCTCCTCACACTGCTGGTGGGTTCCATTTTGTCATAGGGTGCTGTATGGCCTCCCATTGCTGCTGCCTCCACCGCCACACTGTGGCTCCACACTCTGGTTTTGGCCCCGTGACTGCCCAAATGAGTGAAGTGTGCGGTGATTCTAAGATCGACGGCACTCATCTGCATGTCATACTGACTGACAGTATTATTTCTCTTCCCCAGCAGACTCCAAGGGCATTTAAATTAAAGGTACAGTGTTCTGCACTAATATAAAGGCTCTCTGAAGCCTAGAAACCCTTTTTATAAGTTAAATTCGCAGCGAATATATTCGCATCGAATCAAATTTATTCCTCGAATTTGCCGAATCAGCCGAATCGAATTTTTGAATACTTCGCTCATCTCTAATTGTGATAGTCAGAATGCCCTCCTTACAGACAACTAAATAGATTATTGGCATTATATCACTAGCTCTGCCAAGCTAGAGTTATGTAGCGCCCCTCTAGAAAGTCAGGGGGAGCTAATTATGTTTCTTTTAATTAGAGACTCAGCAGCCTGGGCAATAGTCAGCAGGGTCAATTTTGGGCCAGGGCTGAGAGGCTCTTCCGTTCAGTTTCTCAAAACCTCCCCCTACTCTTGAATCTTGGTGACAATTCTAGGACCAGCTGGGATGGTTTGGCAAAGAGGAGGACTTTGCCCAATCCCAAAGCAGGAGGCTTAGCATGAGGCCAGGGCAGCCTTTAAGTGTGTTTGAGCCTGCTCAGTAAGAGAAGAGTTCGGGTGGGAGATGTGAGGAGATGCAGGAGCCTTGGAGGGGGCCCCAGTGGGAAGGGGCCTACCTACAGACCGGGACTTGAAATGGAGGATCACTCAGCCCCATTGGTCCCCGGAGGGAGAGTCACCTGCGGAGCCAAGGAAGGAGCCAGCCCAGCAGAAGGCCTGAAGGCAGTCACCATTCCAACCAGCTCACAGGCAAGGACTGAGTGAGTAATCCTGCATCCCCTGGGCCAGACAAGGGGAGAGGACATGCTGGTGGGAAACTTGACTAGCTCCATATCCAGGACTGTTCAACTTAAAGTGGCAGACACTGGATCCCCTTGCCCAGGGATTACTTCAGACAGCTGGGTAAAGAAGAGGATTAGTCTGGAGTCTGGGGTCTGGGGTCAGGGGTCAGGGGTCTGGGGTGGTACACCAGGAGAGGCTGGAGAGCTCTCCCAGAAAAAAAGTTCCTATTTTGGACTTGTATATAATTGCCCAGACGTTTTCCTCGGTTTACTGTTCCTTGAGCCTCCCATACACCCCTCAACCCCATCCAAATGTAACACCCCTAATAAAATAACAAAAAAACAAGCTCAATGGCTGTTTACTGCCTCTGGAATGCAATTCTGAGAAAATGCCTGTTGCCTGGCTGTACAGGACTATAGGGGGACCCAAATGTTTAGCAGTTCATAAGGGGCTAGTGCTACAGTTAGACCCAGAACTATGCAGGCACCATCTGATAGGAGATCAGTCACCCCAACTCATGGAACTCTTATCAACTTCTGGTGGAACCCTAAGGTTCTATAAAACCGTGGTTGAGAATGGTTGCTATAGACTGTCCAGCCAAATCTGCTCGGGTTACTGATGTCACATTCAAGATTGCAGTACCCAGCATCAGTTTATTTTGATTCACCTGCAATGTATTTAGCTGATTTAAAGTGAAAGTTCAATTGGCCTTCAACAATGGAGAATTGGCGAAGAGATCAGAGGTGATATGTAATGTGTATTGTTGAAAAACCTTTCGAATTTAACCAAAGAGCAAAATGGACATAAAACAACCAACTTCCTATATTTCTGGCTTTCTCAAGCTTGCATGACTGTCTTGCTTTGGACATTACAACATAATTAGTTTGTTCCATCAATCACATTGGTCTCTGGTTGTCACTTTTGCAGTGTGTTGCTTTTTTGATTTTCAATGAGATTACTTTTGCCCAGTCTCTAATGATCCCCTGTTGCTGTAAATTGTCATTTAGTCATAGAAATACACGGATGCTAAAATAAGAAGCTTTCTGACTACTGCAAAAGCCTTCAAAAGGCTGTCAGGGACAGCAGACTCTAATGATGAAAAAAAGGACATCTGTCATTCTTTTCATGCCAGGAAAGGCTTTTAGCAGTTTTTAAAGGAAAAATCGTATTTAACCTGATTTTGTTATAATAGGGTTCCCTAGCACTGCTACAGTTCCCCCTCCCGCCTTGCATATCCATGTCCTCTCCTGTTCTGGGAATGTCTAATTACTGTTTGTGCTGATCCAGCTCTGCTCTTCTCTCCACCTCCTGATGGGGGAGGGGTTAAGGGGGTGAATATCATAAAGCAGCCATCCCCAGCCAGGGGTTTCGTGGTACCCTAGGGTTCCTCCAGGTTTCGATAGGGTTCCATTAGCTGTGGTTGATTAACCTCCCTGGGTGTCTGCAAAGGTTCAGGATCAATGCCACTTGGCAAAGTCAGCAGCATGACTTCAATTTTCTTTTCAGCTGTCTGTAAGGATGGCACCACTGTAAGGAGGGCACCACTGTAAGGAGGGCATTCTTCCTCTCGACAACCAATAAAAATGTTGCAATTTTTGCCATTGACCTCAATAATTCAGTTTTTAATAAAGGTTCTCTGAGATTTGAAAATTATTTTGGGTGTTTCTTTAGGTTAAAACGGTTGAGAAAGGTTGCTGTAGAGTGCAATGTTCTTATGAACTTGCTAAGTAATTTTGTTTCCTAGCACAGCCACAGCCCCCCCCCCCCCCACTCCTTCCTTGTATATCATAGGGCCTTCTAGGAGTGTTAAATTACAGTCTATGCTGATCCAGCTCCTACATCCTTCCCCTCACCTACCTACATAAGCATTTACTGTATGTTTCTTCCAGGGTGGAACACTACAGAGTGTCACTTGAGTGACAGCTTAGCGTCTTTTGGGGCTGCTGATTCTGTTCAAAATGGCTTTTCAGGCAAATAGCATGCATAAAATACATAAAAGTGACACTAAACCCACAACAGTAAAATCAGTCTGTATATGCAGTAAAACATGTTTGTTATACTCACTATAGAACCCAATGGGTTAATCCTCTGCATTGTATAAAAATGTTGTTTGATCCTGACTTCTCTGATCCTCCCCTTATTTCATTGCCCCCCTCTTATCTCCTGAGAAGACATATCGTGTGGAGACAGAAACACTCTGCACATGCTCAGTTTGGTGTGTATTGCTAGAGAGGTTTTTTTTCTTTCTTGGGAGAGTGCATGTGATCAGCACAGGGCCAATCAGCACTGTTCAGACAGAGGTCAGGGGTTATGCATCCTTCTGGAGCAGAAAGAAAACTTCTCCTATACGTTTTAACCAGTGCTCTGCTAGACACTGATAGAAGACTGCTCTATACTAATGGTGATAAAAGGCATTTAGCAGTTTATATTTACTAAAATAATTGCATTTCCATGTTCTGTGGAAGACCTGATTGAATGCAGGGTCGGGGTTTAGGAACACTTTAAATGCACATGTATAACCCTATGGAATTGGCTCCTGTCTAAATTGTCCTAGTTTCATCCCTGGCCATGCGGGATCTCCTGCATGGTAGGGGTTGGGGAAAGACCTGGCAACCTACCCTGTAAAATAATTGCTAAGAGAATTCATGGAAAAAGTTGCTTACGAGTGACGGTCCATGCAATCGCCAAGGGTCAGATATGACTAAATGGATAGATAGATAGATAGATAGATAGATAGATAGATAACCCTATGGAAAGATTGTTGTTGGAATGAATGGTCTAGAAGAGTCTCTTCAAGGTTTGTAATAGAAATACAGACCATTATTTTATTGGCTGGTCTCTGTGCTTTGGCAAGGACATGCGTGCAGACATCAGAATATGGCAGTGGGTGCAAACACTTCCCAGCCATAGAGAGGCCAGGCAGAGAGAAGTCCAACTTGTCTTGTGTGTCTATTTACATCTTTAATAAGGAGAGTATTGGAAGGAAGGAGTCAAAAGGAAATGCAGGAGTGCACTCTATAGTCAAACGTGCTTGGCCCTCAAAGACACTATAAATTGCAGCCACAGGGGCATTTCAGGGGGGGGGGGGTGGCCAGATCTTACGGTGCAGTTATAGGCTACACTTGCTGGTGTACTTGTACCTTGGCCTGTCAGCCTATAGTTTTATAGGACTGTGCTACACAGGGTAACAATGCTTCTCTTGAAGTAAGACACAGTAGGAACAGACTTGTTATCCTGCAACGGGAAGCAAAACTACTGGTAGGACCACCAGGTAAAACTATAGACAGCAAATAATAAAAAAGAAATAGTGTTCATAGTGAAGCCACCATATATTATTTTGGTAAATTTGCCTTTATGCTATCTCTGCCTTTTTTAGGTATTTTTACATTGGTGATTTGTGAAGTCCTCAAGATCATTTTAGACATGAAGTAACTATGGCTGGAACATGAATTGACTGCCCTAAGCTATTACCACCAAATTGTTATACATTAGATATTGTTTCTGTATGATAGAAAATACAGTCAGTTGACAACCCCACATGTGTGTATGCGGGCATTATGCAATTATTCTTTAGTTCCCTAACTGTTCTGGAAGTCCAGCAAAGGCACAAAACCTCAAATGACTGTATTTCTGACAACTCAAAATTGACCATAAGATTTAAGCTGGCCATACGCTAGTAGATAGTTGAACGTTACGTTCATATAAATCTCTGACTTGATGAATGTTGTTCGGAAGTACCTCAAAAAAAGTTTGCCTTTAACATTTAATTTTGAAGTAAGTGTAGATTCCCACATGTGCAGTACGGATTGAAGCTCAGGTTTCACAGCTAATTGACACAGTAGTTGTTCAGCGATTCAGGACAGATCTAGATTAGGTTCAGGTCAGGATTTTATCCTGTTCACAACTGATGACATGTGCAGTTTAGAAACTGTTTCCATAGAAGTCAATAGCCTGTAATCCACACCTGAACCTGAAGGCACTGTTCAGAAATCGGACAGGACTCTTTTTCAATCCACACTGCTAGTGCGCCGGTCATATCTGAACAGGCACCGATGTTATTTCACATGTCATGCAGATTGGATGCTGTTCAAACCGCATCCAATCCGCATATATGTGTACCGGCACTAAATGGACTTTCCTAAACAAAAGCCACATTCACTGTTAGAAATGTGTTAATATGGCAGAAATTTCCATCCTGCTCCTTTGAATCTTCTTATCACTGTGGTTGAAAGCCAATGTCGATTTGACCCCACTAACTTAGAAAATCAAAT